TTTTTTATGAGCTTTATGACCATTTTATTATTATTTTTTTAAATTATTAAAAGTACTGAGTATAAGCAGTGTTATACCACACGGGCAAAAGTGATATAAATAAATTACACGACTGTCTCCGTGCTATTGATAAGCGGCTCTTTTTCAATTGTTGCTATCCAGTCTCAAATTCTTCGTAATCATGCATTCACGCCGAAAAAATAATACGTATAGTTTGATTGATTGAGGGATTTATTGATAACCGCCCACAATCATATGTAGTTTCTATAGTACAGTAGACACAGAGAGTGGTTCGTATTTCGTGCCCGGACTTCAGTGAATGGGTATCCGATGATGAGTGTCATGGATCAACTAATGATTGACGCAATACTGTGTGAAGTCATGCCATTTAAAACTAGGAAAGCGTGGTTAAAATATTGAATATTAGTGGGTGTTTGGGTTAATAGTTGACCCGACATCGTTAGAGCAGCCAAGGTGAAGGATATTCAGACTTGTTGACCACAACATTTGTAGTACAACACCAAGTGCTGCACTGCAAGATTCCCCTTGTCCGGTGAAGCATCTAGAAGATTCTTAATTTATATTTCATAATCTCTGCTGGTGTGCAGTGTGATGTCTACGTAAAAACTGGGCGTAGAGTAAATTTGGTGAGCAGAAAATGTTAAAGTTGCTAGACGTATTAAGTGAAAGTTCAAATATATATATATACATATATTGACCGGAACATGCGCGAATCTGATTGGCTGATAGCGCTATGAGTTGCAATAATTTACAAAATATACATACGATTTAATCATCCGCCGATTATCTACTATGTTTTGAAGGAACTGGAGAATAATCTCCTGCATTTTCTCTGAAAGTTGAACAAATGAACCAAACAAACCAAATAACAAAACTGTACAACTAAATGACCATTATTGATGCATACCTGGGAGAGCCACCTGAAATTAACAATTAGATTAACAATTAATGGATAATGTTGTCGGTGATAATGCATTTTGGAACACATTCTCTTAGATTGACATACAATTTATGTAGCTTTCGCTTCACATAGATCTCCCCATAATAATTCAAAAAATTACAAAAATGGACAATATTTTGTTGTAAAACAAAACTTCATTTATAACGCAGAAACTATCGTATGGCGTTGCTGACCGGGCAACACAAATAGTATATCTGTGTAAATTATTTTCATTAAAATGCAACGCATTGCTAGGAATAGGGCAAGCTGTTAATGTGGATTAAATAAAAGCATGCATTTAACTTTTCGTGTCAAAGCGTCGTTGAGTTTATGGATGTAAATTCCGTATTCTGCCAGAAAACCATGTAGTCTATATTACTCACTAATAAAAAAAACACAGATTGACATGAACAGCCTACAAATCGTGATATGACCGCCTTCACGTGACACTAGGTAAACGCACACTGCCTGGAGCTCTGAATTCTATATCTGAACGCATGTCAATTAATCAAATTATAAAATTGACGTTTTCGTCATGAAATGAACAAAGAGAGGTTAACCTGAAATACCTAAATATCAAAGCAGTATCGCTTTTTATCAAAAATGACAAAAATCTTCACAGAAATGTGTTATCGCGAAATATCTGAGATAACTATATAATAAATATGAAAGCATCTTCGCTTGTTGAAAATATCACGTTTTAAGTGTATAAAAATATTGTCGATAATTGGGTTTATTCTTGGATAGGCAAGTTGGTAATGTTTGCGAAATAAAAGCGTGCATTTTACCTTATATATACCTCTACCTTATATCAAAGCGTCGCATATAAATGCCGTGTTCCATCCAAACACCATGCAGTTTACATTACTTACTGATGCAAACATGCATGGTGATACAAATAGCTCAAAGATCGTTACATGTCCGCCTTCACTGAACAAACATTCACCGGTGAAACAGTGATTAAATAATGTACTCGTAAACTGGTATAAGGTCGACCTGTACTATAGAACGATACACCTCAATGTCCGGTAATTAAAAATTTTGATATAGTCCCCTTCACTAAGGGTTTATCTCAAACACCTGCACCCTTCGCCATATGTGCCGACATAGTTCCTTAATGGCGTTTTTCAATGATAAAGGAGATCCAATATATTAAGATCTTTTAGAAGATTCATACCCCCCTCCAAATAAACCGAAGGTCATTTGTAGAGTCAAAACATTAAAAATCTCAACATTGGAATTGATCTACTCCGTTTTACTTTCGGACATTGAAATGCACATGACGAAAAACTTGACCATGTCTATATGATGAACTACATATTTTGGCTAACATATAGCAGAATTGTTCAAAAGAATGTCCCTTGCACATCTACGAATCCCATGTAGAGCTGATTATATTTGGCAGTCACTATGCATTTCTCAGCTTGCAATAACCACAGTGAATTAATGCATTTGATCATCAATCGCTATAAGATTTTTTTCTTGCGACCGTTACATTTGTTTAGCTCCGCTGTTAACTAATATAACAGAGTAGAGCTGTTAACGAAGGCAATTGATGCTTGGTATATTGGTAGCTTGGGTAGACTATTGGCAGATATGTTCATTTCGTGTAGATATTTTAACTCTCACGTTTTGGCTAAAATGTTAACATTATTTGGTAAAAATGCTATTTGCCACGTCTTCTTGGAAACAACTAGCTTAATAGCTTTGATACTTTGTAAGTAGGTAACATGAGTTGACCTCTGTGATATTTGTAACAACTAAATGTTTGTGATTGAAACATGTCCATAAATACTCAAAAACATGGCTAATTTGTGATTCTATGAAGAGATATTTTAGGCAAGTTCAAACAATGTCTCGAACATTGTACACCCCTACTGACATATGTTTATAACATAACTGAAACATTTCCGGTGGAAATTATCATTTTAAAACTTGTTTTAGACTAGTCTATTAAATGCTGGCATGTTTTAGGGTAGTCTGGAAAACGTCTCAGACATCTCAAATGTTCATACCATGCTGTTCATTAAGATGTATTCAAATTAAATAGATGGATATGGACATTTTTCAGACTAGTCTCAAATGTGTCTAGTCACACAATATATCACAAGAATTTTTGAGATATGAAGTCGGTCATGTTGGATTAGTTAAACGTGGTGTAGTATCATTGCTACAGTTGAGAAATGCCATAGTCTCAGCAACCAATGCCCAAGGTCTCTGCGGCTATTTATTGGACAGTAATTTTCACAGCATCACAATGCCAGGCATGGCGTTAGTCCTGTTGATGAACACGTGATTTTTAGCATATTAATGAATATACAAAACAGTTTTACTGCTCACATTGATGATTTAATTTTCAGATTTACTGACTCTATAACTGAAATCTACTATATATAAATATGATTTTAATAAATTAATTTGTTACTTTTAGGGTTTTTGATTTTGACATATAATTTATTCGGAAAAATGTTAAATAATCACTGATGTCAGAGTATCTTTGTTCATTATGACCACTAATTGTATTCATGTTTGCAATGTGCCTGAAACATATTTATATCAAGGAAATGTTTGAAACATGTTTCAGATATGGTCACATAGAATGTTTAAAGCCCCCGAACATGCCTACACTGCGTGTTTTTGTAGCAAACCTACATTCATGTCCCAAAAGTGTCTGCACCAGTTTCCGAAATTATACTATTTTCAAACTAGTAGATGAGTCTGAAACATGTTTGTGACACATCTGAAGTATGTCTCAGACACAGTAACCAAACTTGTTTCATGCCAAACATGAGTGAAACTACTCTTATTTCGGTAAAGGATGACAAGATTATTGTGGGAACACTATTAATCAGGACACACTAATTGAGAAAACATCGTCTAAATGCCGATGTGACTATATAATATTTCACCTCAAACCTAGTACATAATGTGACTGATATTTCTAAAATTTTATTTCTACAACCAATATTTTCTATTGTTATAAAATCAGATAAACACGTTTTCTCTACAATATAGCCATGACTATAGCCAGGGGAAGTTTACTATGCGGTATGGTACTGTCTGTCACAATACTGCAAACAATCCTTTTATCGTTAGGATGTCGGCCTTTTGTTTCATATTTCCAATTTGCAATAACTACGTATCTAAAGATCGTCTCGACAAACCACTCAATAGCATTAAAACACATTTATTTTTTGATAGTGATGTTAATTTTCTATTGTTTGGTGTGAATGCTGCATGGTCCAGATTTACATATAGATAACATATCATGGAATATAAGGATACTGATTAAACCAGCAACAGTAAAAATAGTGCATACATGATTATGCTGGAATAAAGTGTACATACACACTTCCTAAGTTTTGAAGCTTTTTGCTCGACATATCAATAAACATCCCAACATCCCAAACAACGAAGTGACTAAAACTGGCAGGATTGCCATAAAAGGGTTCTACCTCTAGATTTGCAGGCGTGACGTATGGCTGTTGGTTTTGTTTGAAATAATACTGAGATCAAAAATTTACACAAAATATATACTTTAGAATATATAGAGCTTAAAATACAAGAAAACGCTGTTGTAATAGTTTCTCACATAAGATAACCTTGGCATTGTTAGAATTACGTATTGTGTATCAAAGGTTTTGTGTACCAAATCGTCTATCACTGAAAATACCTTTCATGTATCAATTGAGTCTTAACTAACGTTCAATAATTACGTTATTATACAGGGGCATTTGATAAATTGCGACATTCGTGAATAAAATGATATAACTCCGCACAATGACAAAACACACAAGCTAATAAATGCGTAAGTAAACCAAAATATCAATAATAAGCATTTAATCAATTCATCAGCTAGTAGTTCAAAATCAATTAACATAACACTATTATAATACATAGTCTAATCCGTGAATACAGCCAGGGCGTGAATTGTGTTCAAAATGAGTAAAATAGTTGTTATGACCTTTAAGTTGTAGAGGATTTGTGTATTATTTAGTATGTGATTAATCGCTGAACTTTAAACTGAATGCGAATTTACTCAAGTATGCAAAATAGGAAGAGTTTGAACTTCCAGGTCATTTAATTCCATTTTTATATTCTTTAGTTTCTTTGTCAGTATCCGCACCACGTTGCTCTGAATGGGTTGATCGAGAACCATGCGTAGTTTGGATATATCACACTTTATACAAGCCATGATTTCCGATCCAGGAATCTCAGTAGTGACTTCATGCTTTAAAAAATGTACACAAAAACAAGTTAGCGTATAGGCACCATGTGTGCTAATTATAATAGTTATGTTAACAGATACATCTAAATACAATTACCTGTCTATTGATTATAACATCACAAACGTCCGTATTATTTATCTGATGTATGGTCGGACGGATACTCTCAGCTCTGCATCTTCTATCTAGAAAAGGAGATTCTAATAAGCAGTTTTCCATGTGATCCTGCGGGAAAATAAGTATTTATTGGTAAATGAAAACCTTTTATGTAAAAGGAAAGAGTGTACAAATAAAATAAAACTAGTAAAGATGATTTTAACTCGACATTAATGTCTAATTCAAACAGTTATTCCGATAATATATTAACGGGAGAAATATATAGCAGTTGTGAGAAAATTGCATACCATTTCGTACTGAACGTGAAATCCATTCCAATCGCATCCAATGCTCGGACAATTAACACATAGTTTCTGAATATCACTGGCACATGCTTTGTCTGTGTGAATCTGTTTTAATATAACAATTCAAATTATGAATGTTTAACAAATAGAAATTATGGTATATGTTTAAGAAAATGACCGTTTCATAAAAACAAACTAAAAAACATGATATAATTATGTCAATTAGCATATATTTGGTTACGTCTGTACCTCTTCAAGTCTAAGTATGGCTTCACATTTTTCATCTTCGTTAACAGCTTGGCATCTCATTCCATTTTCATAGTCACTGAGTTGGGAAATACATATAAATTAAACATTGGTGTTGCTGCGAAGCTGTTTTCATTTAGAGAACTTATTGCAACTATTAAATGGCATTAAATGGCATTGTTGATCAAACTAATATGACAATATAACAAGATACATTTGCTATGAATATAATCGGAAAGACAGTTTTCTATTGAATACAATCAGACATGCAGTTTGCCCTGAACATAATAGGACACAGTGTGTGCAACAAATATAATCAAACAGGCTGTTGAAATGATGTTATCAGAAATTTGAA